TCTCAGCCTCACTCTGTGAAGAGATTTTCCAGCTCATGGGACAACAATCTATGCACCAGCAGGCTGAGAGTGATTGTCATTGGGACAACTCCACAGTTAATCCTTCACACACACACACACACACACACACACACACACAAGCTACTACATGCTTTAATAGAAACACACACAGTTTACAGCATCTGCTGTTAAAATTCTGACCTTTAATGTCTGTATAGTTCACTGCCACGCCCAGACAGGAATGTAACAGAGTTTTAAAATATGGTAGCCCTTACAGAGGCACATATTGTTTAAATTCTGATTGAAGCATTCAGAGAATCAGCTTAGTGATCTTAAAATATTGTTTTAATGAAAATAAAGATGGCACAAGAAAATATTTGCAGAAATTATATTATAAACAGACAATAATCAACAGTAAAATAAACTGTATTGAAATGAAAATACTTAAAGTGACATTAAATTGAGCAGCAAAGAGAAGGGAAACAACCATGGATTACAGTAAGGCATGCATTACAGTATTGGTTTATGTTAAAAAATCTGAGGGTTTAATGTCACTTTAACAAAGTTCACCTGGTCTTTGGTTCAGTGCAGAGTAGTCCAATCTGATATATCAGAGTCACTGTTGCTCATAAATAACTTTTTAGCATTTCTTCATAGTTCCGATGGTAAGTGACAGCTGCTGCCTCCCTCTTCCAAGTATCAAAGAAACTATAGCTAGCAGGTGCATGTTCTTCCTATAGTATCCCCCATTCCCAAAAGGCAAGCTGGCCTACAGGTACTTGGTTGCCCCCAGATCTTATTACACGGTGCTATAGCCTCTGGTCATATAAGCCTAGAAATTGAGTGAAGGAAAAGAGTATCTGTGGTCCTCAGGGTGTCAAATGTAGACTGCAGAAGTCTAAAGGCTCCTCCCACCCCTGAACGCAGTGAGCCGTCCAAATTGCGATACAGTGCGTTCCAGAGGCTGACCATTCTGGGACGAACTGTTTGTTGTGTGAACCAGCCCTAAAGGCAAGTCTTAAAATATGCAATTTAAACAGTTAATTTTTAATTATCGTTTGCATTTTTTCCCCATTATGGGTGTAAGTGGGCTCTTACATTTGAGTTTCGCCTAAGGCCTCACAAAGTCTAGAGCCGCTTCTGTCTGACACCTCTGCTTGTAGCCATGGCATGCAGAAATTAGCCATAAACCTATGCACAGTGCAATGGTCACTGCTGATGGTGGTGCCACTTATGACATTGACTGTGGATGTCCTGGGAGGTGGAGAGGGCCTTTTTGTGACTAGAGGCAACATGTGTTTGGTCATAACTGGAAAAGCTAGGGTGAGCTGGGCATGCAATGTTGCCTGATAATATTTCAGCGTAGCTTCCCATTTTGGAGGCCTCTAAATGCCTTTTGAAGCATGGGTCTATAATCATAGCTATCTAGCATTCATCTATGTGCATATTGCTCTGCAGGCTGGCAAAGAAGTGATTTGCCAAGGTATCAAATATGTAATGTCATCTGCTGTTAAAATTCTGACCTTTAATGTCTGTATAGTTCACTGCCACGCCCAGACAGGAATGTAACAGAGTTTTAAAATATGGTAGCCCTTACAGAGGCACATATTGTTTAAATTCTGATTGAAGCATTCAGAGAATCAGCTTAGTGATCTTAAAATATTGTTTTAATGAAAATAAAGATGGCACAAGAAAATATTTGCAGAAATTATATTATAAACAGACAATAATCAACAGTAAAATAAACTGTATTGAAATGAAAATACTTAAAGTGACATTAAATCCTCAGATTGTTTAACATAAAACAATACTGTAATGTGTGCCTTACTGTAATCCATGGTTGTTTCCCTTCTCTTTGCTGCTCTTGCTTTTAAATCCGTATCTCTTCTCATGCTTGGGGAGAACTTCTGTTTTGCAGCAGACTGCCTTGTCTCTGGAATGGATACATGGTGTCTGTGTGCAGGTTCACAACCTGAGCCAGCACTACAGGAAGAGGCACTCAGCTGCAAAGGGAAGTTCTCCCCCAGCGTGAGAAGAGATAAGGATTTAAAAGGAAGAGCAGCAAAGAGAAGGGAAACAACCATGGATTACAGTAAGGCATGCATTACAGTATTGGTTTATGTTAAAAAATCTGAGGGTTTAATGTCACTTTAACAAAGTTCACCTGGTCTTTGGTTCAGTGCAGAGTAGTCCAATCTGATATATCAGAGTCACTGTTGCTCATAAATAACTTTTTAGCATTTCTTCATAGTTCCGATGGTAAGTGACAGCTGCTGCCTCCCTCTTCCAAGTATCAAAGAAACTATAGCTAGCAGGTGCATGTTCTTCCTATAGTATCCCCCATTCCCAAAAGGCAAGCTGGCCTACAGGTACTTGGTTGCCCCCAGATCTTATTACACGGTGCTATAGCCTCTGGTCATATAAGCCTAGAAATTGAGTGAAGGAAAAGAGTATCTGTGGTCCTCAGGGTGTCAAATGTAGACTGCAGAAGTCTAAAGGCTCCTCCCACCCCTGAACGCAGTGAGCCGTCCAAATTGCGATACAGTGCGTTCCAGAGGCTGACCATTCTGGGACGAACTGTTTGTTGTGTGAACCAGCCCTAAAGGCAAGTCTTAAAATATGCAATTTAAACAGTTAATTTTTAATTATCGTTTGCATTTTTTCCCCATTATGGGTGTAAGTGGGCTCTTACATTTGAGTTTCGCCTAAGGCCTCACAAAGTCTAGAGCCGCTTCTGTCTGACACCTCTGCTTGTAGCCATGGCATGCAGAAATTAGCCATAAACCTATGCACAGTGCAATGGTCACTGCTGATGGTGGTGCCACTTATGACATTGACTGTGGATGTCCTGGGAGGTGGAGAGGGCCTTTTTGTGACTAGAGGCAACATGTGTTTGGTCATAACTGGAAAAGCTAGGGTGAGCTGGGCATGCAATGTTGCCTGATAATATTTCAGCGTAGCTTCCCATTTTGGAGGCCTCTAAATGCCTTTTGAAGCATGGGTCTATAATCATAGCTATCTAGCATTCATCTATGTGCATATTGCTCTGCAGGCTGGCAAAGAAGTGATTTGCCAAGGTATCAAATATGTAATGGTATGTATGTGATGATAATGAGATCTGAGTGGTTAGAATGGAGGAGAAGTGCTTAAAACAGTGCTACTCTCATTTCCCTAAATCCAGAAGTTGCTTACAGAAATGGTTAGATCTAAAGCTCATGTCTGTGCTGGCTTTCATGGGAGGTAACACACTACAGTCCAGCTTAAGACACAGTGACATGTAGCAGATCAATTAGATGGAATGAAGGTGGGTCATAAAACCAAACACACATACAGTATGTTACAAGGTACAGAAAGCTGACAATACACATTACACCTCCTATGATAAACATACATAGGATCCATATCATATTTAGTGTCTATCAAATTTTTATTTTATTGTGTTTAATAATATGTTAGTTGTTGGATTTTAAAACCTTGTCAGATGGAAATATAGTATAGATATAGATATAATAGCTAGAATTAAGGGAATATCCAATGGTGCATAATAAAACTCTTCCACACCCTTTCAGCACACCCCTCAGATCCTTCAATTGGTAGTGTTATTACTGTAAACGCCAACTTCAGAGACCAAAAAAAGATGGTAGCAGCAGCTGTCAGGCAGCCTATGTAAATGTTATGTATCCTGTGTTGCTAGCTGCATCCCTGTCCTAATCAGCTGTGGGCTTATGAATCTGGCCACACAGCGTGGCGTGGTGGTGCACTGAATTCAATGGTACCGCAGCCACGCCCCCCTGCAACCTAATTTGCCTAATTAAGGAGCCGCCTCTGGTCTCAGACCACATTTAAAGGCAGTACATGGTCAATGTTTATCTTGACAGTTTCACTGTTGCAGTGGCCCAAACCAGCTTTCTTTGCCATTCTTTTGCTCTCTTGCTTATCCTCCATTACACTCTAGTGTACTTTACACTCCTATGATAAACTACAATTTCTTCACAAATTAGTAAACTAAATGTGAGATTGTAGTCCATCACAGGAGCTAACTTGGAGCGATGGCTACTTTACAACACAAACAGGGACCAGGGGGAAAAAAGTAGCCACCCTCCAGAATGAAGGACAGTGTCAGCACCAATTCAGAGATGATTTGAGGATCTACAGCCGAGTGATACACAAATAAGAGACATTCTTGTTAATACTTAAGGTACTTGAATGTATTTGTAAGATTTAACTCCTGAGTTTAGTGTTACTTTAAGATTGGTGGCTCCATGCTACGCCGAGCAAATGTAACATACAATGGTGGTGGGCCATGCTTGACTCAACGATGATATGGGCTAATGTACTAAGGTAAACTTTTTTTTAAAATAAAGTCAAGTTGTTTTTTTTCCATGCATGTGAATGGACATTATAAAACAGTTTGCTTTAGCAAACTCCTATGATGTCCTAGTTTCTTTCTTCTTTTTTTTTTCTCTTTTCTTTTTCTTTTCTCTTTTTGATATAAAAGAAAAATATATAACTACAAATATAACATAAATAAATAAAAAAAACAACTAACACCAATAACAATACAAAAAAAAAGAAAAGAAACTCCACATTCACCATATGCACATATCGATAAAACAGTATCCAGGAAGATGTCTTTGTTTCTAAAATGCTGTGGGACAGTGTTACAATTTGGTAGATATGTTACAGTGACATTATGTTGAGCCAAATCTGTATTGCTTTTGACTCAATTTTCTGGTTATTCAAATTTACACTGATCAAAGTTTATAACTTCAAAGCAAATATCTGATCAGACTAAGTGATATGCTACTAATGTTGCCCAGTGTGTACAGATTTATCTCCAAAATCCAGTCTTTTTTGCACATCAGGGAATTATGCAACATGTTATGCAGCAAGTTTTTGCATGTATTGAGTAGGTGTGTCCTGAGAAAGAAACTCTTATAATGAACTCAAATAAGTTGGCTGAACATTTCTTTTGCTAACGAGACGACAGTGTTGTAACCATGAGTACTGCAGGAAAGGTAAAAGATTTCAGCTTTATAGCATAACCCGAAGAATTTTTGCTTTACATTCTTAGAGGTATATTTAGAAAACTATGGGTATATTTACACATTCCCAGCAACACATGCCATAAGTTTAAAGCAGTGAATGTGTCTGCTATGTCAGTGAATATTCAAATCAGTGAATTTGCGGAGAATGTTTAACGTACTGAAGGAAAGTTTTTTGGCAAAGGTTCAGTGAATGTGTGATGAGTCTTTATAAATAGTACATGATATATAAGGTTCTGATATGACTTTCCTTGGAAATATAAGTTAAAGGAGAACTATGAGGTGAGTCATTTTCACTCATCCTCATAGTTCGAGCCGACATGTAATAATGAAACTGTCACACGTCGGCTCAATAGATCGGGAAGAGAGCGAACACATACTGTCACTCGCTCACATCTCGATCCTGTCCCTGCATATAGCCGTGACTGTCACTCACGGCTCCCTGCAGGGATTCCCCCCTCCCCGCTCCGATCCTCCAGTGCTGATGGGCGGAACGGACGGGGGAGGGGGCGCGTACAGCTGGCTCTGCCTCTAGATAGGCAGAGCCAGCTGTCACTCATGCAGCTGGGCGGATCTCGACATCGATGTTGGGATCCGTCCCGGCTGTGGCGATCTCAGTATACCGCGAGCTGTAGCTCGCGGTATACTGAGCTTTGGGTCACGGGAGGACGCTAGTTTGTGTCCTTCCGTGACCCTTAGGAGAACTATGGGGGAAAACACTTACCCCATAGTTCTCCTTTAATTCACATAGCTTATTATGTGTTCTACTATTGGTATTTTTACTACGTGTATAGAAAGGTCACTTTGGCTAATTCATAAAAGAGATTACCTTGATTTATATGTTTGCAGCATTTTACAACTTGATACCATGAATCTGTACGTTAAAGTCAGTTCTTGCAAACAGTGTTATTGCTACTTATAGTGACACTAAACTCAGGAGTTAAAAGAGAACTATGGGGTAAGTGTTTTTTACCATAGTTCTCTTTAGGGTCATGGGAGGACATATGCTAACGTCCTCCCGTGACCCAAAGCTCAGTATATTGCGGGCTATTGTCCGCCATATACTGAGAGCGCCGCAGCCGGGACGGATCCCGGCAATACTGTGGAGATCCACCCAGCTGCGTAAGTGACAGCTGGCTCTCCTATCTAGAGGCAGAGCCAGCCGTGCTCGTGCCCTCCCCTGTTCGTTCCTCCACTCAGCGCTGGAGGATCGGACCGGGGAACTGGGGGGATCCCTGTGGGTAGCGGTGACTGACAGTCATAGCTCACTGCAGGGAGACGATTGGGGAGTGAACAGATCGGTGCATGGTTCTGCTCACTTCCCGATCAATAGAGCCGACCTGTGACAGCTTCTTTTGTCACATCCTAACTGAGGATGAGATGGAAATCACTCACCTCATAGTTCTCCTTTAAAGGAACACTTAACCCAGAAGTTAAACCTTACAAATACATTCAAGAACCTTAACTATTAACAAAAATGCATCTTATTTGTTTATCACTCATTTTTAGATCCTCAAATCATCTCTGAATTGGTGCTGACACTGTCCTTCCTTCTGGAGGGTGGCTAGTTTTGTTCCCCATGGTCCCTGTGTGTATTGTAAAGTAGCCACCACTCCAAGCTCACTCCCATGATGGACTACAATCTCATGTTTAGTTTACTAATTTGTACTGAGATTGTAGTCCATCACGGGAGTGAGCTTGGAGCGGTAACTGCAACATTACTTGTATTACAAATAAATAATTAGTACTACATTTTCTTAGAAAACCCAAAGGGCTTATGTAGTTGCCATGATTAATTTACTAATTTCTACACAGGATCTTTCTGGCAGAGGCTGACATCAAAATCTTGCGAAAAAGATGCCTCTAATGATTAATGAAGTGCTTCTGTTAATGTGTTTATATGAGTAAACTAAAGATCCACAAAATTCTTCCTCCATTCCATTAGCTCAAATGTATGCATGTGTAGATTGAAGCATGCACATGCAGTTACACATGTTTAGATGCATACACGTGTAAATTACTGACTAGAGACACAGATTTTTCTATTCTAATTTTACGGATCTTGACACTGTGCAATAATACTTGGGTTAAATGCAGCTGCGTGCATGGGTCCAAAGTAGGGATGTTCAGATAGCAAGTACCGTACTCGGTACAAGTACAGATACTTTTCCAACTCCAAGACTAAACTGGAGAAAAATTCAAAAGGCAGTTGTCATTTTTAAGGAGCATACGGAGCTCCTGGGATTTGTGGATCCCTGTTTTAATGTATGGTTTTAAAAATATAAATATATATAAGGGATGTACCGATACCATTTTTTTAAGCGCAAATACTGATACTTGTCCAAGTACTCACAGATATAAGTACTGATACATTTTTGTTTATTGTCATGTGACAGTTTTTCTAAAACAATACAGACTAATGATTTCAGGATACTGCTGGAGTGCCAGGGCTAAGTCCCAGCTACAACCGCTGCAACCCTGGTAGTTCTTGTGAAAATGCCAAGTATCGGGACTGGTATCTGAACATCCAAAGCATACAATACAGCTCAGTTCAGACCCATAAAAAACTATCCAATTTTGTACCTCAGTGTTTTTCACCTCCGTGTTAATGAGCCCTAAATAAATGATATTTCGTTTGCTAAAGCAAAGGGTGTCAGAAACTATTCCATTTTTATTTATTAATAAAATACTTGTTTTCACCCCTTCTTCATCCTGCATCTCCTGCAGCATCTTTGTAACGACATCCTGTCTACATGCACATGCTTCAGTGATGGCTGTATGGCATTTCTCAGCACGGGGTTCCTGATGGTGAGAACAGTGGACTATACCTCTATATTGTGTGTTGAACCAGTCCCTATCAGAAGCCCATGTGGCAGGGTGTCAATAAGACAGGAACAGAGAGTTGTCACTCTATAGCAGGAAGTTCCTGAACAAGTACCTTCATGGTCGTTTCATCAGGGTTTTTTTTCTTGGCATATTTAGCCGCAGATTTTAAAAGCTTGTATCCTGATTTTAAAATTACATTGACTAGGCATTTAAAGTCACAGGGCCCTAAAGCGTTATTTCCACTTTATATTCCTATTTCCTTTATACTAGACTGGGCAAGTCTCCTCTTGCTGGCAACTCTTTATTCCAATTATGTCTACAAAGGGATGATGTGTGTTAAGCTGGCCATACGCCTATAGATTATCTGCAGATTTTCTATGGTGAGATGGAAAAAGATGGAGGAATCTCTAACTGGGCCAAACTTCAGTATCTTGCTAGTCCGCCCCACTGGCTGTCAAAATACCTGAACAATCTGATTGGATGCAAGCATTGTTCAGATATTTTGAGAGCCAGCGGGGCCGAGTAGCAAGATACTGAAGTTTGGCCCAGTGGGAGATTCCTCCATCCACACAGTTTAGCGTAGATGGAGGAATCTGTTGCACTTTTTCTATCTGACCATAGAAAATCTGCAGATAATCTATAGGTGTATGGCCAGTTTAGGTATTGCCAGCAACTACAATTAGGTAACTACAGGTTGTTTTTAAATATATATATAATACATCAAACATATTTATCTCCTATTTACTTATCCACTCACTTGTTATCTCCCGTCTTGACTATTGCAACTCCCTCATCATTGGGCTACCACTACACAGGTTATCCCCTTTTCAATCTATCATGAATGCTGCTGCCAGACTTATCCACCTAACCAACCGCTCAGTGTCTGCAACCCCCCTCTGTCAATCCCTGCACTGGCTTCCACTCGCCCAAAGGATAAAATTAAAATATTAACAACCACTTATAAAGCCATCCACAACTCCCCGGATATATCTCAAAACTTGTCCCAGTACTCCATCGGGTAACGAAGGAAAGCGGGAGGGGTCCAGTGACGTCACGGACATCAACGTCACCGGACTCCACCCCCCTTCCCTTCGTTAGCTGACAGAGCCACTTGTGGAAGGAGGGAGGAGTCCGGTGACGTCGTGGAAGACCCGGAAGCCGGCGGAGAGGTGAGTATGACTTTGATCGATCAAAATAATTTTGATCGATCAAAAAAATTAACGATTAGTCGAAGGATTAATCGTTAATTTCCGCAGCCCTACGAAAGACTAATCTCTTCAGGGAAGCCTATCCCACCTCAACCTAACCATTGAACTATCACATTCTCAAACAATTCATCCCCACACAGCTCCTTCCTCATGTATCACTGGCCCCACCCTTTTAGATTGTAAGCCCTCATGGGCAGGGCCCTCCTTACCATCTTGTCTTGAATTATATTGTAATGTCTTCCTTATTTTGTAAAGCGCTGCACAAACTGTTGGCGCTATATAAATCCTGTATAATAATAATAATATTTGACTGCAAAAAAAAATTAATGCATGTTCACTTGTATAAGATGTTTTCAGCCACAGGCAGACTTTGTACATCTTATTTGGAATTGTCCAGTTATTATTGATTTTTAGAAAAACCCAAATTCATTACAACAACTTCATCCTGCACACCTGAAATTTCTGTATTTGGCAAACTTGATGAGGAATGTTGGCCACGTTATACTAGAGTGGTTCATAGGGAAGCATTATTCATGTAAAGCCATTGCTATTTAAATGGATAAACTCATCACCTGATCCTTTTTACACTGCTGAGAAAGTGCCACCCCCCTGGCATGGGAGTCAGCACCGTCCAGGAATCTGTAGAAAATGATCACCAGCCCCAAAAGAAGGCAGAGTACAAAGGTGATATTAGGGAATGTATTTATAAAAAATTTGCAGAGCCATTCATCCTGCAAAACTAGATGAATGTACGTTCTGTGCAATCAGAGGCAAAAAAAGAAAGTTCTTAGTATTTTTTCTTTTCAGGTTGAATGCAATTAGTAAAATTTCACATTATGGCCACTAGATGGAGCAGAGGAAATACATACTTCTTCCCCATGCTCCTCAGCTCTATCTAGTTCTATGTTATTCTAATGTTACATTTGACTTGAAAAGAAATATGCTAAGAATGTTCGTTTTTGCCTCTATTCACACAGAATGAGCATTTGCAGAGTTTCGCAGAACAAACGGCTCTGCGAATTGTTTATAAATACACCTCAAGGATTCTAGCAGGTCCCTAATATCTCCTTAAAGAGAAGCTGTCACCTGCACTATGCTATCACATAGGGGGTTTGTCCGCCCTCTTGTGATAGCAATAAAGTGGAGTGATTGCTCCACACATATTAGGTATCACCGGGCACATCAGAGTGAGAGCAATAATTCTAGAACCATAATGCATGGTTAACTCTTAACTGATGGCATGTAAAGGCTTTCAAAACTGCTGTAGAAATTTGGGTACCATAAGTTTTCACCGGCGAGCACAGTTTTGGAGCTTTACATATTTAGTATCTATTTACTCAATACAACCTCTTTATTTATACTTGGGTATTATATTGTGTTTGTGTGCAGTACAATTAATCTGAGTGTATTTTTTCCCTGAAAATATAGATATGATAAACAATAGCGTAAATATCGTGTGGCATCGAAAACTGCAGCTTCCAACATATTATTCTACAGGACCTCTTTTAAGTGTGTTTTTATGTTTAAAAAAATTTACACTTTTGTATGTGTGTGCAAAATTAATGCAATGGGTCTAGCAATGAAAAGGGTTCAAATCGTTCCTTGTCCTAATATACCAAATACACCCAGTAATTTCTAATAGCACCATGAGACAACACTTGTACTGATATCATTATTTGAATGTATGTTTTGTTTATAGGTTATAAAATGCAAAGCGGCTGTAGCCTGGGCCCCAAATCAGCCACTGTCGATTGAAGAGGTTGAGGTGCAACCACCAAAAGCAGATGAAGTTCGGATTAAGGTCAAGATTTCCTATTTTTGTTTCTGTTGTCCAGACTCCATACTTATATAGTGAACTTTCTTTAGTGCTGAAAGCTTGTGGTGAGATGTGTTGCCATCACTGGACTTCCGATTGTGCAATGCACTGCATGTTTGATCCGGTATCCAACCAAGGCAGCTAAAAAAATCTGATTTGGTCTATGGGGCACAAGACATGGCTTGGAGGCTCTAATTTTACCTTGCCTCCCTGCCCTCCCCTGATTCTTTCCCTACCTGCACTGTCTGGAACAACCCACCCCCCCACCACACACACAGAGTCACAATCTCATTTACCGTCCTTCCCTGCATGCACTGTCCAAGTTCATTATATGTGTAAGTCTCTTAGTAGTTGGCTTCCTCCTCTTCTGTTTTCCTCTACTGTAAGACTAGAGCACAGTTGCTTTGGGAGTGTTTTTTTACCCGTGAAATCCAAGTACTTTCTGGAAAGCATGAAGCATCACAATGAGAGTTGGGATGCACTTAGCAATTTCAAGTACTGGACACTAGGGGGTTCATTTATTATGGAGAGCAGCCAACGCTAGCCTCTCTCCGTTATACAGCACTTTACTGCGCACACTGTGGCCATTCATAAGGGCAATGATGTGTAGCCAGTGCAGCTCCACAAAGTTCTCTTTGTGGAGCTGCTCAGTGGAGCAAAGAGAGTGCCATGATTGGAGAGCCAGTCATGTGACTTTGACAGGTCATATAAACAGGCTCTCCTCCTAATTTTTTTATTTTTTTTTCATTGCCTTTCTTTTTTACAGCACACAGCTCATCGTTGTGCTTTAGACATGTGCATTTTTTTTTTTTGTCAGAAGCGCAGCCATGTCCCTTTTAAAGGAGCCCCCAGAGATACAATTTTCTCTCACAAATCTGTCTTCATCCGTAGAACTTCTACAGTAATGCTAATTTAGCCATACTAGCAGCGAGTCCAGGAAATGTATATGTATAGTATGTTCATTCAGTAATCAAGCTTTTTTTTAACCTATAATCTATATTTTGGGTTTCTAATGTGTTTAGATGGTAAGCACAGGCATATGTCGAACAGATGACCATGCACTCCATGGTGATATAGGAGGAGTGAATTTTCCAGTTATTTTGGGCCATGAAGGAGCTGGAATAATTGAAAGTATTGGAAAAAGTGTAACTGGACTAAAACCAGGTATTCACATTTAAAAAAAATACATTTAACCTCCATTTATACACATTTGAATGGCTTACAACTTTAATAGCTCATTTTGAGGGATTGCCCCCATTTGGAGTTAAATGATTCTGCCTTTATTCCCCCTCAAATTTCCCTTTGTTTGCTCTATGGTAGCGATCTGTATAAATAAATATTAACTGTATAAATAAGTGTTTTCTACCAAAACTCCATGAATGTTCACTCTGTGTGAATGGAGGCAGAAAAAAAGAATGTTCTTAGCATATTTTTTGTTTCAGGTCGAATGTAATATTAGTAAAATACCACATTATGGCCACTAGATGGAGCTGAGGAGCAGAGGAAATAAATACTTATTTCCTACACTTCCTAGCTCCATCTATTGGCCATAATTTTGGTATTTTCCTAATATTACATTTGACCTGAAAAAAAAAATAGTACTTGTAAATGTCTGTGCACTGCATTGATATCTCAAACAATGTTATGAACTTCCCCAACTTGTGTTTTGTGAACTATGAAACTTCTCTTCCAGATGTAATTGGGATGAGGTGAGAAGGAGGGGTTAGTAGTTCAAATTTCAACAGCAGCCTAGGGTGACAACTCTATTCCTCCATAGATACAGTACAGTGAGTAAGTTTTGTCACCCTAGGACAGTGGTGGCGAACCTTGGCACTCCAGCTTTTTTGGAACTACGAGTCCCATCAGGCATTGCAAGGCTCTGACAGCCACAGACATAACTCCCAGAGGCAGATGCATGTTGGGATTTGTAGTTTTGGCACAGCTGGAGTGCCAAGGTTCGCCACCACTGCCCTAGGACATGAAGGGTGTTACTGGCAGGATTACCAGGTTAAAATTAAGGAAAGGAGCCTGAAAAATTAAAACTAATTCAGCCACCATATCTAAAGACTGGTGAGCTGCAGCATATACAAATTTTGTTAGTCTAAGTGTAATTACAGGTGGCTGAACTATTAATTTTTTTTTACCTTAAATAGGCAGGTAATAGCAGTTAGACAGGTTGTATCATAAAATGGCACTAATTCCTAGGGTCTTTGCCTACCCATAAGCGTTATTTAAGATTTTGGATCAGCTGCCCTTATTGTACACTGTATAGACTTTTTTTTAGGGATGTCCAGATATCAGTTCAGATACCAGTGCTGATACTTGGAATTTTCACGAGAACTACCAGGGTTGCAGTGGTTGAAGCTGGGACCTAGCTCTGGCGCTCCACCACTGTCCTGAAATCATTAGTCTGTATTGTTTTAGAAAAACTGTCACATGACAATAAACAAAAATGTATCAGTACTTATATCTGTGAGTACTTGGACAAGTATCAGTACTTGTACTTGCAAAAATGGTATCGGTGCATTACTTATATATCTTTATTAAAAAAAAAACATCATACATTAAAGCAGAGATGTACAAATCCCAGGAGCTCCGTGTGCTCCTTACAAGTGACAGCTGCCTCCTAACTTTTGAATTTTTCTCTAGTCTAGTCTTGGAGCTGGAAAAGTATCTGTACATGTACTTGTACTTGTACCGAGTACGGTACTTGGTATCTGAACATCCCTATTTTTTTATAGTACTTGAAATATGTATTTTATTACTTTGTGTGAATGGTAATTTTTTTGCTTAAATATAAAGTGTGTTTCTTCTTTTACAGTCAAATTTGAGAAAACTCAACTATTAGTTTGTTATGTGTTCCCAATCATGTGAATGGGAACATGTAACACATATAAAATAGGTGTTATCCCAATCTAGCTACAAAAGTGGAAATACATTTTAAGCTTGAACAACAATACATTATAACTTATTGTCAGGTACAAGGTAGCATAATAAGGGACAATAATTATTCTAAAAGTTAAACACCATCTCTGACAAAACCAACCACTCCCTCCCATACCCTTCTAACTCATCCGGCACATTTTATCCTTACCTTGTGAAGCAAGATATACTCATTTAAGACCAATGTCTTGGTCACATGTTGGTACCATTTCTGGGTGTAGGGGACTATTAATCAAGTTCTACAAATGGTCCCTTGCCAGTCTCTCACAGTCCCCTTGTGCTGAAACCACTTCTCTTCAGGACACCCCAAGAAGGAACCCACCTTCTGTAAAAAGAAAAGCAGAGAAGACTTGGGACTGCAGTATCACGTGAACACAGCTTTAGGGGAGTAAAAAGGGCCTTTAGAGTTGTTTTTTTTCTAATCTGAGCAATCAGAGAGGGGTTGGGTGGAAGGCAATAATGGGAGTCTGGAGATCCGCTTTAACGCTGAGCATATATATATTTTTTTTTTAATTGCACCGTATAAAATAAGTAATTATACATTCTGAAATGAAAAGTAAAATAATGTATAACACCTACACTGTAATCATTTTCTTGTTTCAGGAGATAAAGTTGTTCCACTTTGTCTTCCTCAGTGTGGAAAGTGCAGCTCGTGTCTGAATCCACAAAGTAATTTTTGCTTTAAGTCACAGTGAGTATTCAAGAAAACTTTTATTTGTGTCACCGGAAAGTTGATTATTTAAATAGGAAACAGGTAAGTTCTACATGCAATATGTACCAATAAATAATGGCATATACCAATATGACTTTACATTCAGCAATATTGGGCTCTTAAGGGCCTGTGTTGATGGACTTTAAAGAAAAACTCTGGTTTATTAACCCTTGCAGTGGGGCTACTCCCACACTGCAAGGATTTACAGTTCGCTTTTATCTAGGTGATAAAATCAAAGTTATACTCACCTGAACCACAGAGCTGGCTTGTTTTTAGACCTGTCCTTCAAGCCTCTCTCCCTCTCTGCTGCAGCAGTCTAAGGTCTCTAAGTCATCACATTCTATACACAATGCGACACGTAGGAGGAGACAGGCTTCAGAGAGCGGAGAAGCAGGGAGCTGGCTCAGTGGTTCGGGTGAGTATAACTTTTTATTAAGCACCTAGACAAAAATGAGCATATTACCCTTGCAGTGTGGGAGTAGCCTTACTACAAGGGTTAATTAAAGTATTGTCTGGAGTTCTTCTTTAAGTTTGTGTTGATGGCTTCCGTTTAAGACACTTCTGAGATCATTTAATTAATTGATAGCTGCATTTGATATGCATTTGATCTCCTTCTGATCTGCATTTGACCTACTTCAAGCTGGTTTTGCATTCCCATGAACTTGTATTGGAATGCAAAAGCTATTTGGAATGAACAAAAGCCCATCCACACAGCACATAAAGGTGTTCATAATAACAGTGGTCTCTTGTTACCTGAAATTGCTTGCTCCTTTCAAAGCAATGCTGGTGATTAGTTTATTGCAATAAACCCCTCAAAAGGTCATTATAACATTAGATCTCTGAACTTCAGGATCACTGGAATTTTATGGGGTATCTTAAAATACACCCTTGAAAATGTTACATGCCACATGTTAATACTACATACTGTACCTACCAAAGCCTGCAATCCTGCCTCTACGCCTGCATACTGAGCCATTCTGGCAAAGCTCCAACACTTCCTGGTTATGCTAATGGTTCCTCGAACCCTCTTAACTCCCACATATTCTTACTTTCACGTCAATGTGATGTGCATTCCTATTGGTCAGTAAGACAGCCCATGAGGCAGGATGGGACGAGTAAGCTTTGACACAGCTAGTAAGTATCTTGGAATCTGTAAATTAGGGCGCAGGAGATACAGTGGAAGAAGAGACAGGCTGCAGGGACCAGTCTAACAGCCATCCGGGATCGTGGTTCGGGTGACTTTTAACTCCCCAGACAAATCGAGCACTTAACCCTTGCAGTGCCGGGATAGCTCCACTGCAAGGGTTAATATTTTATTTGCCTGGAATTCTTCATTAGCATATATTATTTACAGATACAAGTTCCAATAAGGGGCTCATTTAGAATTGTTACAGTAGCCTCAGATTCCCATCTACTCGGTCTTACTTGAACACCTCATTCACATCCCAGCTGAATGTTCTGTATCTATAAAAGTCACTGGCCAGATATGTTTAATGTTACATACAGTAACGGAAACATTGAACATTTGACCATATCTACAATTTGCTGGGCTCAGGTTGCCAGCCCACCACAACATAAAAGTTATTTATTACAGTGTACCTCCAGCCAATTTTTGTGTATAGGGTGTGAAAGGGTTAGGACCACTGCCATGTTTTACTGCTCTCTGTGGTCCAGTTGGTTAAAATGTTCTCCTCACTTACTGTCTTAGTGATGTTTCTGCAGACCAGAAAGTGAGGGAACATCTCCTAGATGAACACAGGCAATAATAAAGACTCGTTGTTCAAGAGTAGAGAAATGCTAAGGAGTCCTTCACAGAATTGTATTGGTACCTGCCCCTGTTAAAAAAAAAGGACAATGTTGTCACTGCAACAGGATTGAACACTGTACAGAAGTTTAAACTAGAGGTGCACCAAAATTGACATTTCAAAACTGTGACGAAACCGAAATTTTAAAAAATGTCAGGCCGACACCGAAACCGAAACCAAAAACGTTTTTTTATTACATTTTTTTCAAATTTTGAAAAATATTTAATTTTTATTTTTTAAAACGTTTTAATTTTTTTAATATTTATTTTTATTTCTTTATTCATTTTTAATTAAATATTTTTATTTTATACTTTACATTTAGGGGCTTCGGGGAAATATTAGGGTCTAAACAGACCCATGATATTTCCCTTTTGAAATACAAAAAGAGATTGAGGACACAGAGTCCTCAATCTCTTCTTCTGCAGCCCCAGTTATCAATGAACAGGAAGCCTCTATACTGAGTGTTGCTGTCCATTCATAACATGAGAACATTGTGTGTTTACTATATCCACAATCATGAATGAACAGGAGGTGATGTAAATCACTTCCCATTCATTCATAATTGAGGCTATAGTAACCATACTATGTCCTCAATTATGTATAAAACACTCAGCGATCACTGATTGCTGAGTGTTTGTACCTCGCTCTCTATCCTGACCGCTGTCACAGGAGGCTGAGCGAGCGGTGCAGGAAGGAGAGCTCAGCCTCCTGTGACAGCGCGGGCTGTCTCTGCCCACACACTGTGACAGAAGGCTGAGCAGTGCGGGGAGGAGATACGCTGGATGCTCACAGCGCTCTCCTCCCGCAGCGCTCGGCTGCCTGTGTCACTTTCTCTCCTCCCCGCTGGGACACAGAGCAGCACCCAGTGGGGAGGAAGGAAAGCAGGGATGCGTTGCTGTATATGCAGAAAAATGGCACTTTCGGCATTTAGCATTGGCATTGGCGGCCGATATATCGGTGCATCCCTAGTTTATACCCCTCTCCACTCTTTTCAAAACTAAAGACAAAAGTTTAGGCTGGAGTACGTTTTACAAGAAATTGGAGTATTCTCTGGCTAAAGTATAAAACCCCTATAAATAGCTGCACTTGTAAATGACAAAACGAAATTATTGCTCATAATCATTTGCTGCCTTTTTTTTACAGCTTTAAGGAACCACAGACTGTACTCCTTGACAAGACATCAAGGTTTTCCTGCAAGGGAAAAGTTGTGGATCATTTTTTGTGGACCAGCACCTTTTCTGAATACATTGTGATGCCTGCTGGAGCTGTTGCCAAGATTGCTGACAGAGCACCCATGGAGAAGGCTTGTCTTTTTGGATGTGGCTTTCCCACTGGATATGGAGCGGCTGTCAATACTGCCAAAGTAACTTTATAAATATGTTGACCTGTTCAATTTATCTTGAAGTGGAACTTACAGTAAAATCAAGGTCTGAATGTACGGTCCAGGGCCCCTCCCCTTTTTAAAAAAACACCCAATGTTACTAGGTGCCATATTCTACTCCTATATGGAACTGCCTTAGATTGGGTTATCTTCTTACTTCTTGTGGAAAAGACTCTAAAGCACCATATTTAAAACTATAATAACTTTAAAGAAGAACTCTAGGACATCTAAAAATTAATGATTGCAGTGGAGCTACCCCCCACTGCTCGTTTCGGTCTAGGGGCTAAAATAAAGAACATATACTCACCTGATCCTTGGTCCAGCTTTCTCTCCCCTGGGCTCCAGCGGTCTAAAGACCTGTGACGTCGTCATGACTAATGCAGCTACATTAGACGTGAGTACGCTGACAAATATTCCACCGCCAGAGCACAGGGAGAGAGAGACGACACTTTTAATATTGTGGGGCATTTAACCCTTGCCCCACTGCAAGGGTTACTTTATAAATTTTTTGGAGTTCCTTTTTAAATTCAGCCATGGATGGATATCTCTTGGGGTGAATCAATCATTTTGTGAGAAATCCACAAAGAGATCTGCCCGGCTTTGCTCCCAACTTCTCCTACTGTAATAAGAGAAGTCCAATTATTGTTGCCTTTTCTATAACATAGTTTCAGGGCCCATTTAGATCTATGCATGTTTAATATCCATTTTCTTTGTGTGTTGAAATGCGTTATAGTCGATATGCATTGATGTGCGTTTTCAATGCATTTGTCACTTTAACGGAGAATTATGGGGAGAGAGCGAAATAATCTCATTCCCATAATTAGAGCCGATATGTGACACTGAAGCGGTCACATGTCGGCTCTATAGATCAAGAACTGAGGGATCACATACTGCTGATCGCTCAGTTCCCAATCATCTCTCTGTAGAGACCGGTGACTGTTAGTCATCATTCCACATAGGGATTTCCCCTCTACGATACTCCAGCGCTGACTGGAGGGATGGATGGTAAGGGGATTGGCACAGCTGGCTCAGCCTCTAGAGAGCGGTAGCGGGGTGGATTCCGACAATATTGCTGGGACCTTTCCCGGCTGCACAGTAAATGTCCTCCTGTGACCCTAAAGATAACTACAGACAAAAAAGGTTGAATCATAGTTCTATTTTAAAGTGGACCTTTACTCCCTTTCACATCAGCATACAGTTCTAAAATCATCTTACATTCATCAGTGCAAGTTCAATTTCTTTTTTTACACTTCCTGGTCCACTTTGGAACAAATCATGTGCCCAAGTTTTGCATTCTAAGAAGGTTACACGAGCAGAGCATTGCTGGGAAATCTTATCTGTAATCTCACGAGATCTCAGGGAAAGGCATTTGCCTACCCTGAAATGATGTGCATGGTCACATGTCCTAGTCACATGTGCCAGAGTTCCAGGAAGTAAAGGGAGATATAGTAATCTGTCCTTAGTAAAAAATGGTCACCGTCAGAAGAGTGGGGAAAAAATAAATAAAATGTATGCAAAGAATAAAAAGCCTGCAATTATCTATATCTGTTTGTAGATTGTCATTACTAAACATTTATAAAATGTGCATTTGTGGTTATTTTAAAGATAAAGGTAACGTTCCTCTTTAAGATTGAGTAGATAGAGTCAACAGCAATGGACTAAGGCTTTTTAAATACCTGTCTAATACCAACACATGTTAAGTACATATTGATGCATTGCCATTGAGTTATATGGGCTACCCAACACACCAAAACACAGAAAAAATGGATATGCTATGTTTTTTAAAATGCACTGCAGTGCTGAGATGAGAGCAGATGCTACTTGTATTATGGGGAAGTTGAACACATGCATTTTAGCACATTGCAATGCATGCATTAAAACACAACAATGTAAATGTCGGCTAGAACTATGAGGTGAGTGGAAATCACTCATCTCATAGTTCTCCTTTAAATGAAAAATCAAACATGGAAGAAAAAACTGCCTCATGTTTGCAGCAGCAGGTAGGCATAATTAGAAGCCAGGGTTTGATTCCTCTTTGCAGCAACCATCCAAAACAAATACTTCAGTGGTATATTGTATTACATTGACAAGAATCAGTTTGAACAAAAGGAACATTGACTATTTTTAACCAACAGGTGGAGCCTGGTACTACTTGTGCTGTATTTGGATTGGGTGCCATTGGGCTGTCGGTCATTATTGGATGTAAAGTTTCTGGAGCATCAAGAATTATTGCTATAGATATAAACAGCAGCAAGTTTGAAAAGGCAAAGCTGTTTGGAGCCACTGACTGTATTAATCCCAATGATTATAGCAAGCCAATCCAGGAGGTGATCACTGAAATGACAGAACATGGAGTGCATTATTCCTTTGAATGTATTGGCAGTACAGAGGTTATGGTAAGTAGT